GTCACAAGAACGTCGAATCTGAATCACTTGAAAAAACACGGGGGTGCTTAACTTTTTTCCAGGTGTATATAAGTTGAATCTTTCAGCGTTTGCTTAATCATTGAATGGTAGACCAAACAAGTTTTCAGTTGATATTTAATAAAGGTGCCATCAAAGGCTAACCAGGATTTTATTAGGAAAGTATGTTTCTTGATATCTCTAGCACAGTGCTACAAAAATAGTCTAGTTACCCTGAAGGTGTATTTTAATAATCTTTTCATGGTCAAATAGATACATGTTTAAAAATAAACTTGAAACGTTTTTTGTAAGTTGCAATATTTCACACAAGAATTGCAGCGGAAGAACTTCAAGCTTTGCTTTCTTAAAATCAAAACATTATTTAATGAAGTGATAACCTTTTCTCAACATGGAGTGAATGCCATTCTTTAATCAATTGATAAAAACCTTTTCTCAACAAGGTGTGAATGCAGTTCCATATCTGCTTATCATCATAACTATTTATAACCATATATGAGGGGGGTTGAGACCAGGAGGTCACGTGACATCATAGTTCCACGAAGTAGCACCATATCGTGTGCTAGTAGAGCAGATAGTTCTAGACGCCATAGTTTCAAGTTGTATCACCAGAGGGCATGTTGCTAGGGCATAAAATGGGTGGGGAACGTGTAAGATGATGAATCATCTATGATGCTTATAATAATATAAATTTGTGTGTATATGAATGCGATTCATATTTAACAATTTAATGCTAACACGAAAAATAGTATTGTAAAACATATATACTGACTTGTACTCTGTATTATAATATACGTGACTCGTGATAAGTTTGACATTTGTTTTCACATATCATTACACAAATGAATTATACCACTTATTTTAAACAAGAAAATTATAAACTCTTTCTGAATCTTACAAGATCATTTAGCTCTTTCGTGCATGTTGAAATTATAAGAAAAGCATAAAAAATATTATTTTCATGGTTATAATGAACGTTACTCAATTTTAATGGTTAGTTAAAATATGCTAAAACTTGCATATGTAAATGATATATAGTGAACACAATTGTTATTTTCAATTGTGCAGTATGCCAAAAAAAAATATAATTACTATATGCCTCAAAAGTTCTTGCGATTTGAATTGTCTCAGTTTTTGATATGTGTTGATAATATAATCCATTATTTGAGAAAATCTGAAACAAATTTACTGAAATACATGGAATTTTGTTCTATAGTAAGTCTTAAGTTTTAGAAATGCACAAACGATTCTATGTTTAGTTGAAGGAAAATGATCATATAGAGTTTAATAACTTGTACGTATAAACCGACACAATGCCGTAAGATTGAAAAATAATTTATTGTATGTGATAAATATTTAGAGATCGAAACATTTAGGTTAACATGAAGCTATGTAAGATGTAACTGTAAAAATTATGCAAATT